CTCACAAATATTAATATCGCCACCAGCAGTAAGCAACAAATTGTAGGGAGGAGGGGCTTGAGGGAAAAGTTAGGAGAAAAGCATGGAAAAGATGAAGAGACAAAAGACATGATTTCAATAAGATTTAAATGAACAGGCAAACACCCCATTTGTGTTAATCTTGACTTTCTTCACTGCTACAGGTGCTTATGTGACACTGACCTAGCACTCCCAAAGGGACGCCAAGTATTTTGCCAGAGGGACTGCTGGTCTGCTAAGATAAATACTTAAAAAGAAAAAAACCCGACAACACAGGTTTTGGTAATCTTACTTTAAAAAAGGTTATTACAAAGATGTCAGTAACTATCCAAATTCACTTAAAATTTAACCTCGCTTAATTTCCAAAGATACTTTGGGATCTGACTGTTCTTGAAGGAAAGCCTAGGCCTGAACCTACTAGAACTTGGTTCCTCTATAAGAATGTGTTGGAGGCAGGTGTTCGCAAAGGAGAACTTGAAAAGAAATGCTACTAAATACCAGTCACCTCTTGAGAAGCTAGTCCACTTGTGTTGCCTCATTTGGTGAATGGCAGGCTCTCTTCAAAGAGGCACGTGCAGAAGCTGTTAAAATCCTCCAGATGCCCCCTTTTCAGTGGATATCTCTCTCGAATATAAAGTCAACTTTCAATGTGTCTTGCCATCATTTTCCTGACTCTAGCCCCAAATTAACTACAGTTGCCTTTAGCATCTAAGACAGCGGGCATTATGACCTTCTACCAAGGCATGTGGCATAGATGCTAAAGCACCAGTCTTACACGGTGAGAACCACGTTAAAAACCAATGGATAAAGTGGCAGAGCCTCTAAACTAAGAGATTTAATTACAGAACACTGTACTGTCATAATTACTATTTCATTTTGAGTATAAAGTTCTCCACTTTTCCTTAAAACTGAATTCCACCTTCCCTGAGAATAGGGTTAAGAGAAACATCAAAACTCAAAATGCCCAGGGCCTTTTAAAAGACAACACAACGGAATGTCTATATCCAGTCGTAATGTGTTGTTTCTACTCTAAAAGCTTTCCATTACTCCAGGTTTTAATCTCACCTCCCTCTGAACTCTAGGAATACAGGTGGAGATGGGCGAGGTGAGACGAGAGACTGAGGAAGTGAGCAGCTGTCACGTGCTGGCTGTTCTCACTGGATGGCAAGCGGCCATGGACCGAAGCTGGAACCTGAACACTTAATGCTGGTGTCCTACTGACAGGATGAGTGGGATGAGGCAGCCCAGAACCAGGGCTGCCACCTCCAGGCGGCTGAGGCCTCTCCCTCCATTGGGGTCAGGTTTGTGACTGTGCCCCATTCCGCCCACCTCAGGGAGGACATGTACTGTGGCAACATAAAGAAATGTCCCGGCAGAGAAAAGCATGGCCACTCCTGTGGCATTGACCTCTGAAAGGGCTTCTTTACTGCTCTGTGAATTCAGAGAGAGAGAAAAGAAAAATTAAGTCAAGTAAACTTCAGGATCAGGAAGAAGTCTCAATAAAAAAAAATCACTCAATAGTCACAACTGGTGTTATCTGGGACACTGGGGACATCTTGAGGTCAGAGTAAATTTATGTTATTTATGGAAAGCTTCCAAATAAGGGTTTAAGACTATTGGTAATGAACACAACTGCTTTTCAAACAAACTTCAAATCTGGTTGAACAGGTTTGGCCTATATTATTCTTAAGATGGAATTCACAGCATTATTAATGCAGATATTAAAATTCATACATTTATTTGTCTAGGCTACTAATATTAGTATTAATATTTAATACTAAGAAGCACCTACAGCCTGGTGCTTGCGATACAGTGGTAATCAAGGTGCAGTACCTACCCTCACAGAGCCGAGACACATCTCAAAAGCTAATCTTCACACAATTAATTTCAACTTTTTCTATTAAAAAAGTGGATTTATGGATTAAGACAATTAACATTTTAAGGAAAGAACATGCCATAAACCTAACTCCCACCTCCAGAATTATTCCTTCCTTTCAAAAGTCCTAAAAACTTATACTGGTTAATGAAGTGATAAATAGGATACTGTTTGAAACTATATTGCTCATTGACTGAAAGACGATAAGGCTCTTCAGGTGAACAGAAAGGGGTTCGTAGCTCATTTGTTAGCAATCCAGATCAATAAACTCTTGACTAACCATTCTTTAACCATCACATTTCTCATATATTCCTTTTAATACAAGTTTTACTATATCAAATATGAATCAAAAGACACTGAGAAGAATCAGTGCCCTTCAGAGAGAGAGTGGGGGAAAGCAGTTCCCATGAACCAGTCCTGAGTCAGTTTGGTTCTAAAATTTTCTTCCTGTTGCCTGCCAGGTGACATTTAAGTAAAATGGGGAGGGCTGCTGTGAAAAACTGCAGCCCCAGTAGACAGAATTATAAGGCATAGAAAGGTCCTTCTTGAATAGCAGGGTCTGAGCTGACAAATTCATGCCACTTCAGGTCTGAAGCTATGTTCAGTACAATGATAAAGAACTGGAGATATATATATATTAAGTTTAGTTGGTATACAACATTATATTAATTTCAGGTATACAATACAGTGATTTGACATTCATATACTATACAATGTGATCACCTCACTAAGTGTAGTAACCATCCGCCACCATGCAAACTTATCACAGTATTATTGACTATATTCCTCCTCAACTTTTTCACCCATCCCCCTCACTTCCCTCGCCTCTGGCCACCACCAGTTTGTTCTCTGTGAGTCTGTTTTTGTTTTGTTTGTTCATTTGTTTTGTTTTGTTTTTAGATTCTAAGAGATTGGATATTTAATATTCGGTGATATGAGAGCTGGGAGTAGAAGAATCTGAGTCTTAAATGAACATATACATCTCAGCTCATTCCCTACTCTTCTCAAGGCTGCTGCATGCTTGTCACTTATACTTCAAGTTTCTACTTAAATATTAAATAGGTATTGCAACTTATTACATATCTGTCAAATAAAATTAGCATGTTGGTTAGGTTTAAGTTATATTATTTTAAATATCATGTATTTGTGCAAACATTTTTGAAAACTAATGAGAAAGAAGTTTTCAAATTAAATGAATAAGGAAATACTCAAAATTTATAAGGAAGATTGACTCGAAATTAAGACATTTATCTTTTACAAGTTTTTACTCCTAATTTTATCTTTCTTTAGTTTGAGGGAATAATTGAATTGAAAATTCAACATAAGAGACCATAAGTTCTAGTAGATCACAAAAGAATTAAACACTTGTCCAGATAAGCTAGGAATGAGTCAGATTTACCTTACTCAGTCCTAAGAATGTCACCAAAGACATGACTGGTGCTGCCAGTGCAAAGACCAGCAAGTGCTTTCTGATTCGATTCCGCTCTAGGCCAGCATGCATTAAGAAGGAAACCAGCCCAAAAGCAGCTGGTGCCTGAAAAAGAAAAATTATCCCTTATTATTACTCCAGAAGTGTGACTTGCTTCTACATTATGAAGTACATGTAATTTGACTAAATTTTCATACAAAAACACCCAAGCACAGTACTAAGACTGATTATGCCTTTTAGGAATTAAATGTTCTAATCTAAGAAAATATCATATTTGTATATGTGTGTGTTTCTTAGATAGTAGGAAAAGAGAAACAGTCGAGAAAAGAGCATAAGAAAAACATTTATAAACAAAAATTACTATAAAATATAAAAATCTGTAGAGAATACAACTTTATGTATGTAATCATAAAAAAATAAAACCCCTTCTAGTAAAAATTTAAGAAAATGATCGGCAAAAACAATGACATTAAATTATTTAAAATAAACAGCAATTATGAAAATAACTAAAAGATTTTTCTCATTCCAGAAATATATTAATGACCAAAGAGAAATTTTAATTATGAATACATTCAATATTAAATCTTACACCAAAATTTTGCATACCTTATGTAGCATTATTGCCACAAACACAATTAACTGTACACTAGTCTGTGAAGTAGAAGCTGCTGCTCCCAGTGCGACTCCGTCAGCTAAATTTGAAAAAGGCAAAACATAAAACACTATAAACAACAACTATAATAGTGTAGTGGCTGAATGTGTGGGCTTCAAAGTCAAGTAGAGCTGGACTTGACTCTGGGAAGGTTACTTAAACTTTCTGAACCTTCGCCCTCTCATTTCTAAAATGGGTTCAATAAAGTATATATTCTTAGGGTTTTCATGAGGGTTAAATGATAACATATATAAAAAGTTTAGCACCTGGGGCAGAATATTTAATATGTCAGCTATTACTGTTGTTGTTATTAGAAAGAGTATGAAGCTCAAAAATTCACTGATTAATCAAATTTTAATAACAGAAATATTGAAGAATTTCAAAGGACGCATCTCTGCATCTTGCAGATGAAAAAACAAAGACACTAGAACTCTATAGATGATTTATATATAATGAGTAAATGCTGGTTGAATGGATGAATTCTGTTAGAAAAGCATGTGATACTAGAAAGGTCCAGATGATAGTGTGCCACCTTTCACAGTCTTTGTCAATGACAGAATCCTTCTACTCAGACTGGCTGCAGTCTACAGCCCACCTCTGCCTAAACTGACACTTCGGGTATATACTGGGCAGCAGGGCTGTTCAGTACAAAAGTGCTGAGGCCCTTTTCCAGATGGGATTCTTTGGCAGAGGTCAGAAAAATTTTCTTAAAGGGACAGATAGGAAATATTTTAGGCTTTGCCAGCCATTTGGTCTCTTGCAACTACTCAACTCTGCCATTATTGTGCGGAAGCAGCCACAGATAATATGTAAGCAAGTAGGCACGGCTATGTTCCAGTAAAACTTTATGTATGAACACTAAAATTTGAATTTTATGTAACTTTTACGTGCCATGAAATATTTTCAACCAGTAAAAAAACCATTGTTAGCTATAAACCCCTGAAGCTGAATACACCAGGGCTTGAGCTTGTATTGGAGGACTTCATTAAGCAACCCTTTTCCTGAAGGCCAGCCCAAGAGCATTTCATGAGGATGGTCCCTGTGAAGTAAACACTGTCTTCCCACTGCGCAGCACAAAAGAAAGGGGTTCCCTACCTGCAGCATGGACGACCAGACCCAGTGTGGTGGTGATTTTGGAATTGCTAGGCCTTGCTGTTTCTGGATCTGAAGTAAAAATAAGCAAGGCAGCCATTAAGCAATGTGAAACAAGAGCTGTTAGAACACTGACCTGGAAGTGGAAGAATTCTTTGAAAGCTCTTAAAATAGTGGATTATTTTTCTTGCTTTTTTCTTCTGCTTCTATCACTTAGAAGTTTCCCCCTGTCTTAAAGAGGTGGGCAGGAGGGAACTCTTCATTTGACTCAGCCTTTCCTGAACAGACAATGTATAAACCCCAGCTGCCTCATACCCCTCAACTTTCTACCTCTCCATGGAAAGTACTCTGTCTGTGGGCTCTGATCACTTCTCTCCAGACCATTCAAATTGTCATTGCCTATCTCATCTTCCTCAGCCTCCTCCTGCAACTTCATCTTTATTCTAACATTTGCCTTCCTCCATTTTTTTGCCACCATCCTAACCTAAATTTTCATAAACTAAAACCTAAATTACAATAGGCTCCCAACTGGTTTCCCCTTCTTCTCATATCTTTGTAATCTAAACTCATCTTCTATGTCCTTGTTGGATTCATCTTTCTGAAACACCGTTTCTTCTGATGTGTCTGTTAACCAGTTAAGAATATGATGCTTTTCATAGTCAGTCCAAACTGATCTATTCGGTAGGTTCTTAAGCCCTTTACCAACTGATATCTTTTTTTTCCACTATCCAGTCCAGTTAAAACCAGTTTCCTTTAACACTCTCTAACAAAATATTCTCATTCTCCTTTCCCCAAATCTCCTCACCCCTACTACTTGGCACATACTGAACTTTTCAGCTTGTCAATTCAAAACCTAGACATTATTCAAAGTCTGATTCTAGGACCACTTCCCTCAAGAAAAAAAGAAAGATTAATTCCAGTTCAAAACAACTCTCCCCTTGCTTAGAAACCTAGAGCTCTATGCACACAGTCTCTGCGTGAGGCTCCAGAGTTTCTACTGTATCACTACCTTAGATTTAGAAAACTATTTTCATTTAAATATGTCTTATATCCCCAGATTGACTGTAAACTACACAGAATTAAAATTTCTATCTCTCTATTTCTTTTTTATATTACTTATAGAATGTTAGCAGAGCACTGGCACCTAACAGTTGCTTAATAAATCTTTGTTGAAGAATGAAAAGTATTTATCTGTATCACTTGAATACTACTGCTATTATAAGAAATATACAAGTAAAAATATCCAAACAATGTAAAGTTAAAAGAAGAGGACATCAAAATGCCAGGTGAAATGACAGATGGAAATTAGTCAAATAAATTCCAAGGGATTTAATCTTCTTGAGGAGCCCAGCACAGAGAAGGAATGGTTTACAATGGAAAAAGCATATACAATAAAGTAACATTATCATTTTACCAATAAAATTTATCTTCTAATTAAAACCCTGCAAGGAAGGAAAGCTAAGGCCTCTAATCACTCTGAGACAACAAATATTTCAATATCACCCCACAATGGGAAGAACCATCGTATTACACTGCATAAAAAACTTGTTTTGGCTTTTCTTTATACACAGTTTTGTTATAATTAACATCTTAAAAATTAAAGGCTTTAAAATTAGAACACAGTGTTTATAAATCTATCGGAAGACTGTAGAGTTGTCTCTCCATATCTATGGGGGATTGGTTCCAGATCTCCTCCCACCCTGCCGCAGATGCCCTAGTCCCTTACATAAAATGGTGTAGTATTTGCATAAAACCTAGGCATATCCTACTGTATACTTTAAATCATCTCTAGATTACTTCTAATACCTAATACAATGTAAATTTTATGTAAATACTTGTTATACTGTTTTGTTTAGGGAATAATGACAAGAAAAAAAAGCCTCTACATATCTAGCACAGTCTTAACTACATAGTACATGTCAGCACAACGTAACATTTTCTTCAAATATTTTCTGCAGTTGGTTAAAATCATGGATGCTGAACCTACAGATACAGAGGGCCAACTGCACTTTAGCAAAAATTTAATAAATGAATTAACTTTTACTGATATTTAATAATATATAATACCCTGCACATAACACGTAAAACCAGGTCATCAGATACATGAAAGCCATCAAAAACAATGACTTCAGAGATGAAATAGAAGGAATAAAGTAACACAAAATGCATTTTAAATTGAAACTGTCAAGAATCGTAAGAAAAATATCACAGGTGACTATGGGTAACTATATAATGCAGTTGGAGTTGCATACCATCCAACAGAGGGTTCTTCTCATTTGCCATTTGGAATAAAGAACATGAATAGAAACCATGTACGCCTAATTCAATTTTTCAAGATAAGCCTTTGTTATTCAAAAAAAAAACTATAGAGAAAAATAGTATTCAAGGAGATAAAAAAGACTTTCTAGATCAAGAGTATTTTAAATTTAAGTTTAACCTTATAATTTTTTAAAAGCTTTTATTTGGAAATAATTTTAAATCTTCAGAAAAATTACAATAGTTCAAAAACATTTATATACCCTTTTTTCAGAATGCCAATAACCTAACATTTTGTCCCATTTGCTTTATCATCTGTGCTCATGCTCTTTCTTTCTCTATGCATACCACACAAGCATACATACATATATACACTTTTTTCCATTTAAGAGTAAGTCACATATGTCATAAACTCTTTATTCCTAAATACTTCAGTGTGTATTTCCTAAGAGAAATGATATTTTATTCCGTAATCATGGTACAGTTAGCAACTTCAGTAATTTTAACATTGATACTTTTTCTAATCTCTCTTGCAAATTCTAATATTTTCAATTGCCCAAGAGCGTCTTTCATGGCATTTTTCCTATCAAGAAAGGATCCAGTCTAGCAACATATATTGCACTTATACATGTAATATATGATGTAGCTCTTTAGTCTCCTTTAATCTTGAACATTTTCTCTGTTTTGGACTTTTGTGATGTTGATATCTTTGAAGAATACATTCCCTTCCCTGTACCTTTCTTGTTTTTTAATAGAATGATCCTTCCTTTTGAGTTTGTCTGATGTGTTCTTAGATTATGCATTCTCGAATGGAATACTATATAGGTGATACCTCTCAGGACAGGCATAAGATGTATATTGCTGTTCACCGGTGTGAATTTCAAATCATATCCTGGACATTGTGAATGTTATCTTGTGGATACTCTAGATTCTATTATATTCCTCCAGAGAGTGTTGATTTTTTTGTTTTAAGTAATTTGGTTTGACTCAAACTGCAAAATGTCTTTTGGGCAGCTGCTCAAATCCCAGTTTATTTTTCATTTTTAGCTGAGCTGTCTGGAGTCCAACCATGAAAGTGCGGTTCAGGGCTCAGTCACAGATTTGGGCAGATTTTACACAAGAATTTGGGGCTGCATTTCTCTGTCTCTCTTTTGTCTTAAGATTCTCCCCTCGCTTTCCAGTGGCTTCAGTTAACCTGAATTCTGTTCTCTGGTTACTTAGGCCAGAAAGACTGAGTTTTCTATCAGGATTTGAGCTACCCCACAGGGTACTGACTGCTAAAAGCAGTAAAAACAGGAATCAACCTGTTTCAAGTGTTGACTCCCCTCTAGAATTTGCCTGCTTTAGGTAACTTTCCTGTATCTTTAGGTAGTTGTTTTCTAAATTTTGTCCAGATCTTAAGACAAAAAAGTTACTATGACTTAAGTTAAATTTAAAAAATCTTAGAGAATTCTAGTTGTCCTTGAGAGAAGCTTATATTTCCTTGATAAGCAACCTACAAATGTGTTTAAGTATATTTGTAAGAAAATATCTTTGTGAATCAGAATTTTCTATACTAATAACCATAAAAACAAAAATCCAAATGAACTGGATGTTCAACCTGACACTCATGTTGTCTTGTTAAAGCCCATCTCAAAATTGAACGTTCTTAGTCAAGCTAAGCAATAGTAGCTGTCATACTGATGTCTAAAAAATGAAGCTTAACCTTGCTTATGATTTAAATGTATTATCTCATTATTTAATGTATTGATAAAAAAGACATATATTACTATACCACAAATTTGTTTTAATGTTTTGTTAACTATATTTCAATATAATTGATTTTCTCTGTAATCCTATGCACTATACTTTCCATATTTAAAAACGGTATTCCAAAAAAGGTCCATAGGCTTTAGACAACCTAAAGGCTCCATGGCACAAAAAGGGTTAAGAACTACTACCCTAGACTCTTAATGTGATAGCTTTAGGATAACCAGGATAATACCCAATAAACACTCTCTTGTGCCACATGTCACAGCTCACTGGCTCCCCCAACTGAATAAAATGTTCACAGGATGCTGAAGGCTATGAATTTTAGCTCTAAATCAGGCCAGTGACACACACTGAATTATTTAATCATTTGTGATTTTCTAAACTGCAAATTAATTGCACTGCCCAGAAAGCCCTGGAGTCACTTACCATCAGTAGAATGCACATGGGAGCTGCCAATCTGATCCACCAGCAACATGAAAACAAAGCCCAAGACGAGAGAAACACCGATGTAGGCATGCAGCTGTGTGTGGTCATGGCTACGCTCATATTCATGGGCAACTGGTATTTCTGCTGCTTTGTCTGATGCAATCACATTCTGTGTTTCAGTCACTTGGTGGTGTTTTCCTAGAGCAGAACCATAAAGAGAAAATATGTTTTCCCACATTTTCACTTAGAAGCTTCCATTCTTTTGTATTTCAAGCTCTACTTACTTTACTGAAAAATCATCCATTTCCTATTTTGTATTCCAGCCAATCATAAACTCCTTAAAGTTCAAGATGAAAAAGTTCCCAAGTGTCTTTTGCTTTTGGCATTCAGACCTTTTAACTGCCTATTATTCTCAAAACCTAGGAAATGGAAGCAAATCACCAAGCAAGAAAGCAGTCATATTCCAAATTCTCCTTTCTGGCTCTGAAATTCATGCCAATCTCATCAGAAACCACAATAAGTTGTATTCTGATGAAAACAGGTGAATCAAGAACAGTAACAATGAAAATAATTACAATCAAAGTCATCTAGTTTTATACCTACGGTGATACAAAAATTGCAAATAAAGTGCAAACTGAATATAAATTTAATTAATTAATTTTTTTATGGTGGCATTGGTTAATGAAACCATTAAGTTTCAGCTGTACACTTTAACAGTAAGGCATATATATATTTACACTGTGTTTACCTCCCCTAGTTAAGATTTCTTTCTGTCACCACATATTTGACCTCTTTTACCCTGTCTAACTCCCCACTCCCCCCTGAATATAAAACTTTTAACTTTAAAAAATATCAAGGAGCAATCACTAACTAGAAACCAAAAGGGAGAGAGCAGTTTAGTTTAATAGAGGCATATATCCTGCAGTCTAAATTCAGTTCTAGAACTATCATGATTGTTGGAAGATTCTGAATTACAGAAAATGACCTCTAGCCTAGTAATACTACTAGTACATATCTGACACTCAAAACAAATGCTTCAAGGCCAGAATCCTTTGCGGTGTTTCATGAATAGAGGCTAACATACTAGACATGTAATTGAACAAGCATTTTTTAGCTTTGATCAAAGAAACTGAACAAGTCTGTTGTAATATTTTAGACCCTGCCTTGATTCTTTAACATCCATTTTTGAGGGGCACAAAGAACATCATCTGAAGATAATAAAAACCTATATATTTTTCTAATTCCTTATATTTTTCTAATTCCTGATATTTTTGATGTGTTTTCATAACTTTTTTAAAAGCATTTTTTTAATGTGGTAAATATACATGACATAAAATTTACCATTTTAACCATTTTAAATGTACGATTCTCTGGCATTAGTACATTCATATTGTTTTGTAACCGTCACCTTCATCTCTAGTCAGTATGGTATATAATAAGTGGTAAGGGCTCACAAGCTGTTCCCGAACATAGTTATATATTAAATAGAATTAATTTGGGAGATTCAATTTTAAACATTTATGTTAAATATTTGACCTGAGTATCTGGTTAGATACAATACTGAGCAATAAAATAATGTTGGAGGAAAAGAAAAGGGGTATGTAGGGGAAAAGCAGACGTCAGACATTTTAGCAGACAAAATAAGAGGTAGAGGAGCTAGATCTTATTAGTCCATTATCACCCATGTTTCAGCAAAGTATAACAAGAGTCTTAAAGAGCTCCATTTTTATTAATGAATGACAGGATAAGAGTTAATTAAATATAATAGCAGCTATAACCCTCTTTTACTTAAACGTAGAGCAAAATGACAGAGGAAAGCCATAAGATAGTAATTGTACCTCTCTGTAGAATCTGATACGTGGCATTCTTGCAGAAGTTAGTGGGAAATCCATATTGAACAATTCTTGATGTCAACAGTTTCAATGAATGTCTAGTTATGAATATATCACATTTATATTTAGGTCTTTGACCCCATAACCTGCTTTCCTAAGCATATTAATTCTCATGTTCCAAAGAATTATGGTGGTTTCGAATTGTAGCTCCACAGTAAACAAGCACTTGCAATACTCAATAAACTATGTTCTTAAAACTTCTACTTCTATAGAAAGACAGTTTTCTCACGTGAACGCTGATGATCATCTAATTCCAGTGATTTTAGAGCTATAATTATGGAAGAATATGTGAGAGGTTTCTTTTTAAATTAACTAGTATTTAATAGTGCTTATTAAAGTGTCAGGACACGTAGTTAATACTGTACACTGAGCCCTGAAAAAGTATCTGTTAATTATCTTAATTGCAAGGTCCTCAGAAGAACTAAACCACAGGCTGTATTAACATGTAAACAAACTCCTTTCTTGAAGTTTGGAGAAAAGCTAGTTTTGATCTACAGATAAAAAAGTGGGGAAGAAAAGATAAAGCTGCAGAAACTAAAGCGATTGTGACTAAACTCATCAATATATGAAGAAATGTAGACAATTTGGAAAGGCTAATATTATAGGTGAGCTATCTCAAAAATTTTAATAAACTACAGTATTAATATTTACTTTATATAAAGAATGACGGGGACTTCTGGTGCTAGCCAAGGTGGATAAATCCACTATAGTCTCAATTATGCACTGATTCAGACAAAAACTCTGTTAAGATCACACAAAAAACATCTAACTACCTGAGGACTACAAAAAGTAAACAATAGCAAGAGGAGAGAGGGCGGCAAAAACATCAAAAGAAACCCTGTCCTATGGCTAGAGGACCAGGAAAAGGGGGCACTGAAACATGTTGGTGGAGGGAAGCCCCCCACCCTTTTTCGTTTCCTCCTCTTTCTTTCTTTCCTAGCCTTTACTTGAAGGCACATCCACTTGCAGAACTCCATGGAAATAATGCAGGCAGTTAAAACCCCAAGAGAACTTCACCTTTCTGGCCACAGTAACTGGGGAAAAGGTCCCAGTGGTCTGAAAAGTATGGAGGGAAATCCAGTTATTCTGTTCTCTCTCTTTTCTCCTGTTACTTTGTCCTGAAGGCAGCCCAAGTTACATGGAACTATGCAGTGACAACACAGACAGCTAAAACTCCTAGAGAAACTTATTCTGGCCAGAGGACCAAGTAAAGGGTCCCCTGGGAGCCAGAGGGTGTGAGAGGAATACTTTAAAGAGCTAGGGGGTCCCCTAATACTGTGTATAAATGGCACAAGTCCCAGACTCACCCCTGAACTCTGCAGGACAAGACATACCCAAAGCAACATTGCAAAGGCTTTGAAAACTGAACTAAAATTGGAACTATTCCCCAAAAAGGCAACACAGAACTGACAGTCTGAACCCAATCAGGGTAACTGTCAGCTAAACAAAAGAAATAAACATTCTCCAGAGGACTGAGAGGACCCAGAGTCTCAAATTATAATATTCAAAATTTCCAGGCTATAATCCATAATTACTTGACATACAAAGAAAAAGGAAAATATGACCAATAACATCAAGGGAAAAGACAATCAACCCAACCCCAAATAACTGAGATACTGGAATACTCAAAAGGCTTTAAAGCAGCTATAACTACGCCCTCTGAGGTAAAGGTAAACACACTTCAAATGAATGGATGTCCCCAGGAGAGAAATAGAAACTATAAAAAGGAACCAAGTGAACTTTTAGAATTGAAAAATATCTGAAACACTAAGTTCACTGGATAGGCTCAATAGCAGAATGGAGATGACAGAGGAAAGAATCAGTGAACTTGGCTACAAGGGCAGAGATGAATAGTACTGACAGAGATCACATGGCTCAAAAAGTCTAAAATATTTACTATCTGACGCTTTACAGAAAAAGTTTGCTGACCCCTGGTCTAAACACACTAATTAGAAGACAGAGATTTAAAAAAACATGATCCTACTATATGCTGTTTACAAGAAGACCACTTTAAATATAATGAATGACATAGATAAGTTAAAAGTGAAAGGATAGAAAAAGATATAGCATTTAAACACTGATCAAAAGAAAACTGGAATGGCTATATTAATAAAGATAAAGTAGACATGAGAACAAGAAATATTACCAGGAATAAAGACATTGCATAATGATGGAAAGGTCAATTCATCAATAAGACATAGCACCTAACCAAAGAGCTTCAATATGCATAAAACAAAAATTAATAAAACTAAAAGGAGAAATGGACAAATCCACAAACGTACCTGAAGATTTCAATATTTCTATCTCAGTAATCAGTAGAACAAGTAGCAAGGATATAGAAGATCAAACAACTTGATCTAACTGACATATATAGAACACTCTACCAAATAACAACAAAATATACAGTCTTATCAAGTGCACATGGAACATTCAGCAAAATGAATCATATTCTGAACCATTATAAAAAGCATTTACAAATTTATAAGTATTCAAAAATTAAACTAAGTATGTTCTCTGACCATAATAAAATTAAACTAGAAATTGGTAATAGAAAGAATCTGGAGAAAAACTGGAAATTAAATAACACACTCTAAATAACACATAGGTCAAAGAAGAATTTGAAAAGAAAATTAGAAAATATTTTGAACTAAATGAAGATAAAAATATATCAAAATTCCTGGGATGCAACTAAAGCAGTGCTTAAAGGAAAATTTATAGCATTAACTGCTTATACTAGAAAAGAAGATCTCAAATCAATAAGCTTCCGCATAAAGAATCTTATAAAATAGCAAATAAAGCCTAAAGAAAGCAAAAAGAAGAAAATAATAAAGAGCAGAAATCAATGAAATAGAAAGCAGAAAAATCAATAGAAAAAAAAAATCAATGAAATCAAACACAGTTCTTTGAAAAAAAAAAACAAAATTGACAACCCTCTAGCCAGAATGACCAAGTTAAAAAGAGAAGACAAATTATCAATATCAGGAATGAAAGATAAGAAATTACTACAGACACTAAAAGAATAATAAAAGATTACTATAAACTTTATGCCCATAAATTCTTCACCTTAGAACTGAATCAATTCCTTGAAAGACGCAAACTTCCAAAGTACATTCAAGAAGTAGGTAACCTGAATGGAATTCAGAGCTAAAAACCTTCCAATATAGAAAATTCCACTGGTAAATCTTAACAAACATTTAAGGAAGAAGTATTTTGATTCTATACAGTCTCTTCCAGAATACAGAAGAGCATACACTTTCCAACCCTAAGAGGCCAGCATTACTCTGATGACAAAAACCACACAAAGTACACTGTAAGAAAGTTAAACCACAGGCTAATATTCCCCATGAAGATATACGAAAATCCTCAACAACGTATTAGCAAACTGTGTTTGGCAATATACAAAAATGAAAATCCACAACAGCCAGGGGGTGGGGTGGGGAGGGTGGTATATGCAAGTCTAGTTCAACCATTTGAAAATCACTGTAATTCACCACATTACTAGAGTAAAAAAAGCATTTGACAACATTCATTCAAGATAAAAAAACAAAAGACAAAAAACTCTCAGCAAACTAGGAACAGAAGAAAACTTCCTTAACTTGAAAAGAGAATCTATAAAAACTTGCATCTGACATCACACTTAATGGTAAAAGATTGAATGAGAACAACACAAGACTGTCTACTTTCATTTCTAATCAAACTCATACTGGATGGTGTATTCAGTGCAATAGGAAAGAAAAAGCATATTGGAAAGGAAAACATTAAACTGTCTCTCTTCACAGATGACATGATTATTTATGTAGCAAATCCCAAAGAATATACAAAAACGCTATACTTAATAAGTTTAGCAAATTTATGAATACTAGAATACTGAAAATTTAAATTAAAAAAAAATGTCATTTACAATTGCACTGAAAACATGAAATACTTAGGTAAACTCTAACAAAATATCTGTATCCTAAAAACTACAACACTGATGAAAGAAATCAAAGAAGAGCTAAAGGATCCATTGTGTTCATGGATTAGAAAACCACAATATTCTTAAGGTGTCAATTCTCCCCAAATTAATCTACAGATTCATCTCAATCTCAATCAGAATCTCAGCATTTTTTTGTAGATATTAACGAGGTCATACCAAAATTTTTGTAAAAAGAAAAAAAGAACTAGTTTAAACAAAACAATTGTGAAAAAATCATCAAGTTAGAAAGGTTCCACTACCTGATTCCAAGGTTTGCTATAAAATACAGACTTCAAGACAATGTAATATTGGTAAAGGAGAGACATACAGATCAATGGAATAAAATAGAGTCCAGAAACAGACTAACACAAATATGGTCAATGCATTTGTCAACACTCATAGAGCTGTACACCAAAAAAAGTGAATGTAACATACATAAATAATAAAATAAATTTTAAATGATTGCTTAGGGCCGGAGATTAATCTATGATAAAAAGTTAAAGAGAACGGAATGCTTATTTTTGGAGAAGCAGGTTTATAAAGCACATTGTATCTATTTTCAAATGACTCTACGATAGTATTTTGTGCCAAAATCCAGAAGAACTGAAAATAAAGGAATACAATCTAACACACAGCAGCTAAATTTAACTTTAAAACTATAACTAAAATATGGTATAAGAATTATATCTCAATAAAAATGTTATAAACAAACAAAAAAAGTACACCATAAGTACTTCTTTTCTCTATCTCGGTGATTCCCAAACTTGTCTAATACGAATTACTTGGCAATGTGTTAAAAATAGATATTCTCAGGACTTCTCTCTAGAAACTCTGCTTCTGTAGTCTAGGTTAGGGATCAGGAAATGAAATTTTTAAAATGCAGCCCTCCCTCAAGTAACTTATTATTAGACAAGTTTAGGAAACAACTTCCACCCATAATTCTTTCTTAGTTACAAAGCCAAGAAACAAAATTTAATTGTCTATTTAGTCATGGTCTGAATGTTTCCTAGTATACTAGGATAGTGATCTCTATAGTAGAAAAATCATACCCAGAAAAATTCTAGATGATCCACTGAGATAAGAAAGAAAATACTGATTGATACACATTTACTTTAAATCACGTATTTCAAATTTTTCCATTGTAGGCATGCGTTTTATAATGTACATAGTAAATCAGTAAAATAGTACATGTATATCTTTTTTCCTAATATGATCAAAAAAGAATAGAAACCACTACTCTATGGCTCCTGATTTATTATTTTTATCCCCTAAAGCTGACCAATCCTCAGCCTCCGTCCTATTTTGCATTAAGATCCCCTCAATCCTCATTCTTTACCATTATGCCCATATTTATACACCAGACATAAGAGCATCATCATTCTGGATAAAGGACATAGGTTTCTTCCTCAACTGATTGCTGAAAAACTATTTATTCTATTGGATTTAATAAGAAATTTGGAAGGCTCATACCTCTTTACTATTCTTAAAGTCCAGTAGACTCTTGGCACTTGAAGATTCAGCCACCAATTTAACAGCTGTAGTTTCAAGCCTTCACAAGTATCTGTGAAGTTTCATGACAAGTAGTAATCTGATTTTACTGAGTCACAAATCTGAATCAAGTATGCTTTCAAGCTGGTGTGAAGGACCAAATTATTTAGCAGGTAAGTGAACCAAGCTGACCACCCAGCATTTACTCTTATACAGCGATACTGTTCTCTTTGTTGTTATTAAGATCAGGAGAGGCCTCTTTAGTTTTTCAGTTAATCTTTACTGCAGGGGTCCTTACCAATTATCTACAAAGTTTATTATAAAAAAACAAACAAACAAACCCTGAAATCCAAATTGTATATCTACATTTTTTCAATTAAAAAACACTAAAAATATAATCACCATCATATAGGATTTGGGAAGTTTGACTGGGCATAAAAAAAGGACTGTCATACTTTAAAAGATTGGAATCTATGTACTATTGCAAATAAATCTTAAGCGGTATTCATGAATTGGGGCATTCAAATCACAAAATGAACTGTTATAAAAAATACCATTAAGCTTAACTTTTCAACTTTCTATGTCAATAACATAACTCAAAGAAGGCCCTTCTCTTTCTCACCCTCAAGAATATCTTCATAAAGTGCATGTACTCCTTCAGGCACGATGACTGCCAATGCAGTTCCACAGAGAAGGCCAGCACCCAAAACAGTCACCAGCTTTAGTCGCTCCTGGAAAGAAAACATAAGAAAATGTTTAAAAGATTGATGAATGAATGGGAGAAAGTTTCAGAAGTTATCTGTAATGCAGACTGTGAGCCACTCATTTGTGAGACCAATATCTATAATGGCCAGTAAATATGAAAAAGGGTGAGCTTCATGAATAAGTAATGCAAATTAAAACAAGCAGACGCCATTTTTATATTTACCAGATTGGCAATGATGTGGGAAAACTTATCCATGATAGGGAGAAATAAGCATACTTGTTTAACACCAGAAAGAATGTGAATTGCTGCAACCTATCTGGACTACAATTTGGAAATTTAAAGTCTCAAAAATGTAAATCCTTTGATCCAACAATTTCACTTCTAGAAATTCACTCTAAGAAAGAAAGAACTATGCAAAAATGACCTCTGCACTTATTAAGAGTGCGAACCCGAAAATAAACTAAATGTCCAAGAAAGACTGACTGAATAAACTATGATACTTCATCACAGTACCACAATACTCAGCTATTAAAAATTACGATATAGAAAGTCATAATATACTGCTATGAGGAAAAAGTTGGTGGCAGACAACATGGTTTTTGTTTTTTGATAATCATACTTTAATAAAAAATATACATATAAATACAGGTATAATTTAAACATTAACAAATTTCTTACTTTATAATTTATAAACATAATGTATAATATATAATTTATAAATGTAATTTATAAAGCATCAAAATTTATCTAAAATGAACATATATTATTCATACAATTAAAAAAATGTGTTTAGTTCAATACTAAAATGTTCCATGGGTTTTTTTTAAACAGCTTTACTGAGGTATGACTGACATACAAAAAGCTGCAGATATTTAATGTATACAACTTGAGTATTGAGTTACATCTGTAAAACCATTCTCGTAATCAATGCCATAAATGATCTACAGTTTTAATCCAACTTAATTATATTTTTTTTCTTTTTACCCAGATTTATCTGAGGGACTGTCTCCTGACATACAAGATATAAAGGATTACATTTCAAAATTTCTTGAAGCAGTGGTGTACCCTATATGGCTTCTAAGACTCTTAACAGTATGAAAAAAAAAAAAAATCTTAAAAACTACAAGGGGTAATTATGTACACTGCTTATAAAAAAGTTTCAGTAATTTAATGGTATATCATATACTTCATTTTTATGTTTTAGTTTCTGTCATGAGATTAGCAAAAATAATAGTGGCTGTATTACCTCTGATATACTAATGAACTTGTACCTATGAGGCTGGGGAAATATATACACATGCATAAACACACACACACAGTCTCTATGGGAAAATGGTTTCTTAGCCAAAAGCCTGGTGGAAATATTACCCCCTCCTGGTTTGGGAAGAAGGAAGAGATCTATAGCTTATTGTGTCTCTACTGAAAACAAGGGAACTACAGCTGTAATATCAGCACCAACTAATACTTGCCATACAGCAAATGGGAAATTCCCACAATCTGAGCACACAGGCCAGGTTAGCCCTTCATACATTCAAGATGAGCATTATTAGCTACTTACAAACCAAGAGTATTCTGAATACACCCAGTGGTTGGGGCACTGGCTTGAGAGATAGAACTGACTCCATGTCCAAACTGGTTAACAACTCAGTACCTCAACTTTTCTATAAAATAAGACTATTTCTATATCTTGTGAGTATATATGAGGAAACAGGAGAAAGTGATTGAAGCATTTCAGAAAAATGACACCAAACAGCTGGTGTTACTATTTTAATAATTAATACTGAGCTATTCTAAGAGTCTTTGTCTTTTCTAAGTTATTAAACTCACCAAAGTGCTGCTAATCACAGCATTCATCTGAGACAGATTGTGAGAGCATGGCGAACACAAGATGGAGAAACAGCTCTGTTCTGTGTAGGTGATAGGATAATGACTTAATCTTTTCATCATTTTCTCTAATCAAGTCATAAATGTCACCTTTTTTTTAAAAAAATTCATGAATGTAAAGTTTTACACCTAAGTAAGGACAAAAATAATGGTAAAATGGAACTGGACTGAGGATACGATTTCATTTTAAAGATTTGGTTTCAGAACTCCACAATTCAAACTATGGGCAAATTGCTAGAAAATTGTCCCATCCGCATTTTGACTATGCCCTACTCTAGGAAATGGATATGGAAGATGCCCCTGCTTTGCAAATTAAGGGAAGATGAGAAGTGAGGATGTATTTAAAAGAGAAGGAGCTGATGGCCCTCAAAAATTACTTGGGTGGTAGCTCATACCATATGCAAAAATTAACTTGATGGATTACACACCTAAAGATAAAACCTAAAACTCAAAAGCTTCTAGAAAATGTAAAATATCTTTGCAATCTTGAGTTGGCAAAATTTCTTAGCAAGGACACAAAAACACAAACCATAAGAGAAAAAATTGAACAACTGAATTTAAATTGCTTGCTGATCCATTAAGAAAATGAACAGACAAGCTACATCCAGGAAGAAAACATCCACAATACATTTATCTGTGATAACAATTCAGCCCCCTTCAGGTCAGAGACATCTCTTTCCCCAGCTGCTGGTAGTGTAGCCCACTGAGGGCTCACAGCTAAATCCCTCTGAAGAACTGACCTTGGGCCAAAGGGAAGGAACTAACCTAACGTTATATCTCCTCTCTCAGAACAATCCACATCCACTGACTAGTCCACTGGGTTGTGTGGAGGGAGGTACAAAGCCCTGTGCCCTTGCCTCAATAGGATATCTCTGAAAGGTCATCCAGCTTCAGAGCCTGCTGTGTAGTGAGCTGAGGCCTCTACTGCAACTGAATTAGTTCACCTCCAACTGCTTAATCCTTCTCATTCATTCATACTTGTTCTTCCCAAGAGCGCTCCCCAATAAACTTCCTGCATGCAAATCTTCTCTGTTTTCTGGGAAACTGAACCTAAGACACTGTCAAAGGGCTTGTATTTGAAATATAAAAAACGTGTACGACTTAGTAAGAGACAAAAATTTTTAAATGGGTAAAATGTAGAACAGATACTTCACAAAAGATTTCTGAATGGCCAATAAGCCCATGAAAAGGTGCTCAACATCATTTAGTCATCAGGAAAATGCAAATGTAAACTACAATGAGATACCTCTTCATACACACCAGAATGGCTAAAATTAAAAAGACTGACAACACTAAATGATGACAAGGATACAGAGCAACTGGAACTCTCATGCATTGCTGGTGGGAGCATAAAATGGTACTACTTTGGAAAACTGACAGTCTCTTATAAAGTTAAACCAGCAATTCCACTTTTGGCTGTTTACCATGAGAAATGAAAATATATGTCCACAAAAAAACTTGCTTTATTAATAATAGTCACAATCTGGATCACATGTCCATCAATAGGAGAGTGGATAAACAAAGTGTGGTGTACTGATACAATGGAATACTACTCAGTAACAAAAAGAAATGTTACTAAGACGTACAGAAACATGAATGACTTTCAAAAACATTATCCACGTTTGAATGAAAGAAACCTTACACAAAAAGAGTACAGACTGTGTGAATCCATTTATATGAAGTTTAAAGGCTGGCCAAACTAATCTACATCAACAGAAATCAGAACAGTGGCAGGAGGGGTGAGTGGGAGAATGCAGTGGCAGAGGAGATTACTTGAAAAGAGGCACCACGTTATTTTATTGGGATGATAGAAATCTTCTACATCTTGATTGGGATGTGAGTTACATCTCTATACCTTTGTCAAAATTCATCAAACTGTCTTAAGATCTATACCTTTTACTCTACAAAATGACATTTATTTTAAAAATTATCTGGGTAGAAATTTTCTCAGCTAGAACCTCTGAAAGATTCATTTTAGAACTATTCAATTTTAACAAAGCTTCTTCATAGCAGCTCCTTGAAACCAGGGTCAGAGCAAAGTACTAAAAGGCACTCCAACTTTTTAAATCTATAATTTCATTCAGTATTTACATGGACCAAATTGCTGAATATTATCTATTACAACAGATTTTATAAGAATTTCCCAAAGGCCCTAGCAAGCTAGAAAATAGTTGAATCTCTACGGGCAGCTAATGTCATTACAAAAAAATTGAAGTAAGTCTTTAAAGCACATAGTCATGAAATTACACTCTTTGTTAATCATATGTGAACAATAAAATACTCTCAGCTGAAAGAATATGAATAGGAGCTTGGTCCAAATTTTTAGACAGTAAAAATTTTTATTAATCTTTAGACACATACTTTTAAAAAAGGGATATTAGCAACCAGTTATCAACATAGAATCCAAATTTAAGAAGTGGAAGAAAAGGTAAGAAATGATCCTTTCTCAATATATAGATGGAGACTCAAAAGACCAAAGATGAGAAATGATGTACCCATGATCACACAGCTAGGCTACTTAGTGGCAGAGGCATGATTAGATTTGACATTGCACTCTGCTGCCCTGTATATCCCACAACAATGTCCATCACATGGCACAACACATACATTGCATCATATAAAAGTGACCTCTGAAAAAAGATATATTCAATCATACAAACTCTGTAAATAGTGCGGCTTAGCAGAATCCCTAGAAATATCAAGAGGAAAACCAAAATTATAATTAGTTATAGCTGTTCTCTAGTGATAGTTTCTAAAGGTTCATGGCAAAATAAGAGAAATAAGGACTATGTAATGTGCTTTACATAAGGTTTTATTTCTTTAAGGTTGGGACTATCCTTTAGTCCGAGATTATGTCTTGCCCACTTTTGGTCTTAAAAAATCCTTTCTTTTTAAAAAATGATGGTTACAATAGTATTTGTTAGTATCCTTAAATGGCAAAACTAAAAGCAAGCAATCCTCTATCAATTCTCCCTAATTTCAAAAATATTACTGGCCTGTAAAACCCAAAAGCGTGGAAAACTCTGATCTACAGTGTAAGCATGCGCTCTGTGTTAGAATACCATAAAAAATTTCAGAAACAAAGAATTTGAGAATTGTAGGAAGATATTATAAAGGTAAACCTGAGTGGCTGATCTAGCT